CCCATTCCCGGTTTCGGTGTCGTCTTACCAATGCGTCATGCTGTTTGACTTATAGACATGCTGCCACTAACAAGCAGCGCAAGAAGAGGGAGCAGCGACAGAGGACGCTCGTGAAGCTCGCTGTTTCCTGGTGAGGCTCCGTTTGCATGCTTGCGCTGGTTGTCATTCCTTCCCTGCTGTGGTACCTCCTGGTCGGAACAGGGATCAGTGCGGGCCTGAGAGTGGACCTTTTGCAAGGGAACAATGGGAGAGACTCTCTTTCCAGGCGCTGGGCAAAGCCAGGCTACCGAGAGCTATGCGGCCTCTTGGCAATGCAAAAGCTGCGGCGGCAGCTGTGGTTTTTCTGTCATGACCTGGGAATGCAGAGCCTTGTCATGACAGTGCAGGTGAACTCTGATGCTGTTCTGCGTGGCTTCCTCATCACTCTGGCGGCTGCAGGAGGTCAGCTTGTCAACCGGGTGGAATGGTTCAAAATTCGAGTGGTTTTGCTTTGAGTTGGTTGTCCAGTCGGATGCATTTATCCTATCCAGTCCAGAGCCCCATTGAGCCGCAGCAGCTACTCACATCATGCCCGACGGATTTCCAAACAGCTTCCTTTCTCGTTGCAGTTCTCTAATCAGGGCACGTTTCCGCGCCGCTGCAATAGAGGTACAGCAGCACTGTGCGTCGTGGGCTTGTGGGGATATCACCTCTTCCTGATCTGCTCTGGTATCACTACGAGGGCCGCTCAGATGCACTGAAACTAGTATTAATATGCAGCAATATGAACCTACGCTTTTAAAATGTGGGGTTGAGTTCTAGTTGGTTTGAAAGTGGTTTTGTCGTGTTGCTGTCGCGGCGTACCTGCCATGTGCGAGCATGAGAGTCGCAAGAAACCAAACAGGTGAGAGCGATGAGAGATTTTGTAGGACTGTCCACGAACTCCGGGGGCCCAGCTTGTGAGCGCAGACCTAAGGAGCACATCAAAGGGCGGCTTGGCGGCAAAGTTGCATACTTCTGAGAAGTGCAGCATTTCCTCGATTGCCATTGTCCGTCCGCGGTGGTGCACGTCGGTTAGTTTTCTCAGCCGCTCCGCTAAGGATGAGGACGAAGGTGGGCGCTGTAACACCTGTTCGCCATCGTTGCTGCGACGAATGTCAACTTTGTATCTGTCGTAGAAGGGATAGCTGTTGGCTGCAGTCCCGGTCCCGGCCTACATGTAGGTTGAAGTAAGATGTATGCATATCATCTCCTGGATGGCAGGAGCTGCTGCCAGGCATTGGTGAGGAGCATTTGCCATTCCCCTCACAGGGCTTCTTGAGTCTCGGGGGGTTAGCGGATAAAGTTGCTTTGCTCACGCTTGGTACTAGTCCTTGGTGGAGCTACTCCTAGTAGGACTCGACCACTTGCTCTCGTCGCGGTCCGTCTTTGCTGTCGTGTCTCGGCTGCAACGCAAGAGTGTTTGCTGTTCGGCCATAGATTCGCACTCCGCCGAGTGATCAGGCTCGCGATAGCCAAAGAAGCCCAACTCCAAGGCCTCAGGCCCAAGCCACAGACAAAATGTGTAAGGACCCGAGCTCTGGTGCCGACCATCGCCGGCAGTATCTTGGGCAGGTGCGAAGTCTCTAGACTCTAGCAACACGTAGGCTTGCCAGACCAGCGATGAAAAAGAGTATCGACTCGGAGTTGACTCAGTGAACACCGTGCAAAGCCTCCGCCCGAGATCAGGCGCAGCCGACTCCCCGACCCCGGCAAAGTGATGCTTCAGACCTGAGTGCTCAACAGAGAGCTGACCCGTTACGGGCCTTAGTCCAAGCAGTACCCTATAGTATGAACAAAATAGCCCTAAACCCTAAACCCTCTATAGTATGGTATGAACAAAATAAATGGTCGGAGCTCCTGGAATTATTGGACTTCCAGCCAGAATTTAAGCATCTGCAGCTGTTTCACGAGAAGGCTTTCAATGGAAAGTCGCGAGCGGCCTTTTTTCCTGGAGTGTGCCGGGAAGTCTTTGCAGTCCCCGCCTTTGCTTTCCGAATGCGGATGAACTGAAAATTGAGTTCCTTAACAGCACGACAAAATCCGCTAGCCTGGAACCCTTTTTCAATCCTGCTGGAGCATCTGGACTTCCCACTCTGGCTGGCTCACTGCTTGCCGGTGCTGCACTTGCAACAGGCACCAGAAAGCAATGGTGAATGCGTACAAGCATCTACGCGCCAAAGTCGAGAGAATTCCAAGATTTGGAAGCAATCCCGGAATAGGCCCTGCCTTTTCTGCGATGCCTGCAGAAACGCAGACTTGGCCGGCACCCTGTGGTGACAATGACCGTGTGCGGCTTGCAGCCGTCGGTTTGCAGAACTTTTGCGGCCATCAACAGTGAGGGGAGGGGGCACGGCCGGCTACACTCGATGCATGGCTTCGCATCGCTGCTGTCGAATGCGGTAGCTCGGTAGTCATTTAAAATTTTGTGGCCTGCTCGCGTGCCTGCCAACAGCGAGGGGCAGCCACGACGTTGTCCTAACCTTATCGAACCACTTGAGATATGTTTCTGGTTTAGTCCCTGAATTTTTGCCTGATTTTGTTGTGGCCCTTGGTCCGTCTTGTTATGTTTGCACCACATTGAACGAGAGCCGACCTGTGGAAGTCGGTTCTCCCAGCTTTGTGTCGCCCAGCTGAGGTTGACCATTGTTAATGCTGCACGTGGCATGAATACTGCGACGATGGTCCTTCGTTACAGACTCGACGCAAGCTCATTCGGGATGATACTCTCAGTTCCACGGTGTGTGTGTGTGACCCTTACCATGTACCTGTGCGTTGGAAAGATCGCAATTTGCAGCTCCGGGCCGATGTGTAGGATTGTGCAGAACAGCTCGATGCAATCCTGTGGTTTCTCCAAGTGTACATGAGGGTGCAAAAAAACTCATGATGGATGTTTAGGGCTTCTTTGTCTTTGACGACACGCTGATCTGCATTTCTCGCAGCCACGGGCTGCTTGGTCTCGAGCTCCTGTCTCGCAGTATCGTGCAGCGCCAATTGAGATGCCAGTGGCTTTGCACAGGTCAAAGAGTAGCTCCACAGTGATATCCCCTGGTCCACGGCCTTGCACAAACTCCTGTTTGCAAGTGCATCATCAGCTCGAGCTTCCTTCATGTCGGTCTCACAGGTAAGACGGTAAGCCGGTAAGCCCTTTCACCCGAGTGCAGCAAGAACTCTATTTTCGCAGCCGCTATGCGTCAAGCCTGAGCAGTTGCGGCAACTTTAGCTTGGGTGGTGGTGGCTTGGCAGCATAGTGACAGGGGGTCAGAAGCCTTTGCTTCAGTCAGTTCAAGAGCCGGATAAGCTTCCACAGTTTAAGGGCTAGCTGTTCCTTTTCTGTTCTTTGAAGCAGCGCTAAAGGCCTAGGTGGCAGTTGCTCCAGAACTCCAGATTGCCGGGCGCTTCTTCACGGGTATGTTGTCTCGGTAAAGACCAATATATACTCGTAGCTATGAGCCACATGTTGGACCAGCTGTCCCACATCCTGCAAGGACCCGACTTCAAACTTCGGAACTCTAACCGCCCTGACCTTGACTCACCGAGCGTGACAGTCGAAACCCTATTCCCCACAACCCGTGGGAGCCAAACCAAGTCTCAAGCCGTCACAAAGCAAAGGCAACTCTACAAGGCCTAAGCCTCGAACCCTTGCCCTCGAAGCAGCCCCTTAAAAGTTGAATCTGCTGAAGTCTCTAAAAACCGCATGAAACTTGAAAGATCCTGAAAGCCCCGTCGGCCTCGAGTCCCAGATTCCTAGATCCTTGACCCTGATGATACGTCGGTAGTGGCAGAAGTCCTCAACTAATTCGAGTGTCGGGAGCAGGGTTTCTGCTGTGACCGGTCAAATCTTCTCGTATCTGTGCGTTTTGTTCTCTCTTGTGTTGTCTTTGTGACAGTCATTGGTGTTTTCACCCATCCGGCCGACAGACGCATGACAGAAAAAAGTCTCGCCTAGACTAACCCTAAACCCTAAAGCCTGCTGTGCGAGAGTGAGTGTTGAAACCCTTGTTTCCCAGGTAAGTCCGAGTGTGAGCGCTGAAACCCTTATCCGAGTTGTGAGGCCAACCTTCGAGCGCTGCTGAGCAGCGGCTCCAAGCCCTGGCCTCCACGTCTGGGAGCCCGGTCTTGGGTGTTTTGAGAAGAAGCGGAAACTGATAGAGTATTGGGGGGGGGGGGAGGGGCCGGTTCAGGGTTGAGGGCTTGCATCAGACTCAGCACGAGTAGGGATCATTTTCAGGTGCTCTTTTCTCGCTTATGTCAGGTTCACGTTGTTTTTTGGTGTTTGTAATATTCAGGGCCAACCATGATTTTTGAAGCTCCCACATGGCGACTGGCAGAAATGGGAAGCGGCGAGCATGTGGCATAGACTTGAGCAAAGGCTTTTGACATTCGTCAATGCACATCGCTGATCGAATGACGTGGCCATGCCCTTATGTCCTATGCTTTTGCAAGATGAAACGAGGCCATGTTGGCGAATCAGAAGATGATCATTGACACGATGCAGGTCCTCGGGGTGGAAGCGTGCTAGTATTTGTGCGGATTGGACTTGTTACATCTGCGACTCAGCCAGATTGCAGCTCCTTCTCTTTACTTTATTCCAGAGAGAGCAGAGCAGTGCGGTCGTGTGCACACTCCGCTGACGTCACAGGCTTTCCACAAGCAGAGCCACTCTACACTGGTGCTCTTGACAAAGGCATGCACGCGAATGGGCCTCTTAGCGGCACGAGAGAGGTTCACGTCAAGCAGATTGCTGGCAGATGGCACCAGCCTGCCGTTCTTGTTTAGATGTTTCAGTGTGTACTGGTCCTTCGCACGGGACAAGAAGGCTGGATAGGTATTGTCGAAGCATTTCGGTTCCCACCTCTATGCGTTTCAGCAGGCCGCACAGGAGCTCTCTTAACCGCACCCCGTGACGAATCAGAAAACAATAGTAGTGGCTGTCAAATACAATCAGAATTTGTGCTCACGACGGCCCTCAAAATCTGTCCATGCCTTTGGCGCCTTGGGCATGGCTCTCGTGTTGTGGTCGCCGCCGCGACGAGCATCGACTCGAAGGACGCACGGCTTCGGGAGGAATCGAGCACTGCGCTGACGCAGCGAGTAGAGTGCTTCTTTGAATTGCGTCATACGTTTTCTGTGCGCAGCTTTATGACTTAGCCATCTCGGTAGGGAGCCACGGGCTGGTCGGGCTTGGACATTCCCGCTTGCACGACATCGAGCCCGCGCATGTTTCAGAGGATCCTTGCTGCCGGAGAATACCCCGCACTGGGAGCTGCGCGAGTCTCAGATTCCTGTCAAGGTCAAGTCAGGACATTCTGATTGTCCGCAGCTTTCGGACGGATGTGCGACAGTGCAAGGCAGGAACCACGGCCCGTAAGCAGTAGAAGTGTTCATGCATCGAGTGGCTGCTGGTTACCTTGGTGGATGTGAGTTCGAAGTATTCTCCTCAAGCTCAGTGATTAGGTTGCTGCTAGGCCCGCTCAGCCCACGACAATTCTTCCGAGGCTTCAAAGCGAGGAAGCCTCACCTCCCACGTCGCGCGCTTGTTGGGCTGGCAAAGGGCCCATTTTCCTGTGAAGAGCTCTGAGCACAGGTTCGAGATGAGCGAAATCCTCCATCCCATCTTGGAGGATGCACCCCTCTGGTCGCTCAAGCCACGAGGCACCGTCTGTCACGTCGGGAAGGTCTGAGTCGTTTGCACTGAAGGCTCTTCGCCGTACACTTGGGACGGCCGGCTGCTGGCAATGGACCAAGGCTTGGCGGCATTCAAGTTATGAAAGCGGGCACCTCCGGACTGCGCCTCCGCTTTTCAGGCTTGCCCAAACCTTTGGCCATATTCGAGGCCAGGGGAACGAAGAGGGCTCGGGGGGGGCTGGGGTTTCAGGCCGACCGCCTTGCTTAAACTTTACTTAACCCTTGGCGAGGCCGGAGAGTGCCACGTTGTGCGACGAGGCGGCCCGCGTCCGCTTCTACAGGTCCGATGGAGCCTTGATTGGATAGAGTCCACCTATTGTGCCGTTAGAGGTCCTGTTTAGGAGTGCTTATGAAATAGATTTTACTCGTTTGGGTTTGGGCCACTAAGAATCCCGCTTCCCTACACTTGCTTCTATCTGTCCTCTTATCTAGCTACTAATTTATGTATGTATCGACTTATCTAATCGACCTATCATATGTGTTTACCTACCTACCTATCTATGTACCGACTTACCTACCTATCTGTGTATCTGTCTGATATCTAACTGTCGCCCGGTCGGTCTATCTAGAGAGACCGAGAAAGAGAGAGTGAGAGTGTGTGTTGACCAGTGGGCACTTGTGTACGGAGGCGGGACTTGTCCACTCCTCTTGTCTGTAAAAGGAGGATGTGTGTAAGACAGTCCTGAAAACCATGATGGTGGTAGTTGCAGTACTAGGAGTCGTGGTGATAGTCTTATCCGCTGCAGGAACACCAACAATATCATAATAGTTGTAATATGAGTAGGAATGGTATACATATGTCGATATACATGCATGCGCACATAAATACCCACGTACTTGCAGAAGTACATACGAAGACGTGTGTGTGCGTGTGTGTGTGTGTGTGTGCGCATGCGTATATGCATGCATGCATGCATACATGCATGAACTACACCGCTTTGCAAACACTACTCTGCACCGGCACAGTATCAGCTCGAGTTGAAGAGCCATGTGAGCATGACGCAGCGCAAGGATTCAGCGAGACATGGGCTGGGGCGCCTTCACGATGCAAAACCTGGCAGTGGGTGAGTTCGTCTGTGAGTACACGGGCAACCTGACTGCAGAGTACAGTCCTTGTTCAGGGGCTCGTCACCGCATCACAGAGGCGAGCTGCTGACGGACGCCGAAGCAGAGAGCCGATGCACCGGCCCTGGCCGGGATGCCTATCTCTTCAACCTAACTACGCCACAGCAGTGCACGAGACTGGGGGTTCAGGCAGGGATCCTGGCCTCTTTGCCACTGCAGGAATACATAGCGACAACACACATGTCAGGCATGGGTGCCATGTTTCGGTGTGCTTGCTCGTGATTCTTTTGGCTTGATTCGCAGGTGCCAAGCAGTGCTGACATGGCCGATCCAGCTGCCAGCCTTGCAAGCAGCGGCTCGTAAGTCTGCTGTTTGTTGGGCTACCTCTGCCCCAAGAGGCTACAAGCGAGCAGGGTTTTACCTGCCGATCCAGAAGTGAGCCATAGTAAATCTCTAAGAAGAGTAGGTCTGAGTAGGTCTTCGGAGCCACGGGTATCTGCACTGAAAAGGTTCAGTCCGTGACATGGGTGGAGAGTTGACTCGATGCTTTGCTGCCCGTTCCTCAGGTCTTCGTGATCGATGCTTACGAAAAGGGCGGCGTGGCTCGATTTCTCAATCATGCCTGCGGCCCTTCCCATGCAGCAAACGTGACACCGATCTATGCCTACACCTTTGACAGTGAGGACATGCTTCATGCCCAGTTGTGTGAGAACCGCGCTGCCTTGCCAGCAGCTGTGACACCGTTAGCCGGTCACATGCAACTGCGCAGGAGCCCGTCGACGCGCGCTTGCCACATGTTGCCCTCTTCACCAACCGAGCCGTCACCAAGGGGGAGGCACTGACAGATGACGTGAGTGTTGACCTCCGAGTGCTCGAAAGCTTTCTATTGGGGCTGAAGGCCTAGGATGTTTAAACTGCTGCACAAAACGACACCACTGAGTCTGAACTCAGTGACTTGCAGGCTTTGTGCGTTCATGTGCGTGCTCCTGTGTACATTGTATTCTCATGCATTAGACAAATATGCTCATGAAGAATGTGTGTATCCATGCATGCATGCATGCATACATACATACATACCATGTGTATACGGTGCACCGACGGGCACACACCTGTATCAGTTAAGAAATCAAACAAACAAATAAACAGCTAGATGAAATGTATGTATATACAGACATGTATTTATATATGCGTTGCTTACATTTGCTTACAGTTCCGACTGGAACACTCGGTGATGGCTGGGATTCGCACGCGCGCACGCCCACCCACCTCCTCCCGTCCCCACATGTCCCCACCAAACACAAACAAGCAAGCACGCACCCGCACCCGCGTACTCGCACGCGCACACACGCACAGAGACAGAGACAAACACAAACACACGCACGCAACAAGGCATGTTCTGCTCGGAAAATAGTCGAAACGACGCCTGCTACTGTATGCAAGCACGTGATTGTCCAGTGCTGTGTCAGTGTATGCGCAAGGAGCTCCGCTACGACTATGGCATGCCACCTGAGGCAGTTCAGAGTGCCGATGGCGCAGCTAGACATCAGCCCTGCCTTTGTGGAAGCAGCGTATGTCGTGGCCGGATCTACTAGAGCGAGACCTTGCTCGGCTCCTTGCTCGATTCTCGGCCGGCCGCCGCCGGCCAGCGCGGACGCCCCCTCCTCCCTCCGTGGTCATGATGATTCAGGGTGCTGGAGGATGATGGGACAGGAAGCGTCGAAATTCGCCGTGTTTCTCACCGGTAAGGCCCAACGCCAGCAGAGCGCGTGGGAATGGGAGGGAAAAGGAAAGGGCACTCTTCCCTGTTCAGCTTCAGCCACTGCCTGCTCTGTGACGCTGCTGTATCTTCGGGGCCCGCAGAGTCGTGCACTAATCCAGCAAAGGTCTCAACGACATTTCCACCGAGTGCGAGCAAATGGGCATCTTGGCCGGTCGATTGAGAGCGGCTCCGCTCCATGAGGTCCTAAATAAGCACCGTGACACCGGCGTGCGGCATGTGCATTGCCGCATTGCAAACTACGTAACTACGTGTTGTGACTGCCACGAGAAGGAGGACGTGAGCGAAATTCCTAGTAAGCCTTTCGTTGCAGCAGAGTGTGCTGACATCGCTTCTGAGACCTGTATAGACCAGCAACCCACAAGAGGGAAGTGGGTGCCTGCGTGCTTTAGGTCACGCCTTCCAGGACGGGCGGCGTTTGTCAAGTCTGTTGGTCCGATTATCCTGCGTGGTATCCCATGGCAGTGTATCACGGCGTTTCGAGATCGTGTGTCCTGGAACGCTTCACACGACATTCCGATGATTCCGGGGTCGATGGCAGGACACGAACTCCACATTTGCAGCGCTGAGAGAATCGACCCCTGCGGATGTATCGCAGGTGCTGCGGAGTCGAATTTTCGGATCTTTTTGGAACCCAAAGTGTGCTGGGTTGTCATGGGCTGTAAGCTTTCGAAGCTCCCCTTCCTGTTTCAGGTCGTGGCTGACCTGAAGCCTCTTGGCAAAACCCGAAACCTTGGTCCCGTCCACCCACTATAGGAATCGACAGTTGCCAGCGCTGTCGCTATGATCGCATTGATTCACATTTCCTTGTTTCCTTGTTAAGGGGATTTCCATAATTACCGAATCGCTTTTTATCATGTTGATGCACTCTCGGCACTTTTCCCTTGCATCTTCTTGATCACAGTGCAATCAGCCCAAGCTGATTATAGGTCCTACCCTGAGATATTTCTGCTCTGCTGGCTCCTCTATCCCAGTGAAGCTTCGCTTCTTTCCGGTCTTAGGCTTGGGTCTCAGGCTTCCCACAGCGATTCTCGTAGAGGGACAGCCGGCGCTAGGACTCAGAATTTACTGCAACTTTTATAGGTTCCTGCGCGTGCATGCGCGCATACCTTCGCAACGTCGCCGGAAAGACCCGAACCTGGGATAGCGGGAGGCAGTTCAAGTAAAATATGCGTGAACATCGGATGCCTTTGTGTATTTCCCACTGTGTAGAAATAGATGCACATGATGCATAATGTGTGTTTTCGCCGCCAGGGCCATGGGCACCCGCTGACCTACACTATCCCACACATGCACATATGCATGCACATGTGCGTTCCGAAGCCTACAGTTCCTATTGGCCACCTTTAACATCGATAGTCTTTAACCCCAAGTCTCATAAGACTTTTCAGAGCCCTCCAAGCAGGCCCTCAACCCTAAACCCGAAGCTCTTCCTATGCATGGCATTCTTACCTGCGGCACGCTGTAGGGACGAGAAAGGGACTAAAAGGGGTTTAAAAAAAGAGGAAACTCCGATGCCGCCCAGGAACTTCGCCTCCGATGCTGCCTCAGCAGAGGCCCAGAAGATGGAGGAAAGGGTCAAGGCGGCCTCGGCTAAAGCGGAGGCGGGCCGAATCTCTTTCCAATTCCAGGGTCCCAGGTGTTATACATCGCATATGAGCTACAGGCGCTTCTCTCCGTACCTAAGATTAGTCTGCGAGCATACCTTTTCATAAGGATGCTAACTGCTGCTTTGCAGAACGATGAGGTGACCGCCCCGAGTCGATAACCCACCGATAGTATAAAGAAGAGCTTGTGCATCACGAGATATCAAGTTCTGTGCTGTAACTGCAGGGCCCAGAACAAGCTTTCAAACACTTGGCTCGTTGTCGTCGTCATCGTCGTTGTTGTGTGCTGGAGTCTGCTGCAGAGGAGTAAGGGGCCCACGTGTCGCAGGCTGTCGCAGGCCGTTCAGATTGTGCCTAAATCGACAACGAAGCGACAACCCGCCAGGTCGAGGGTGTCTCGCAGTGAGACTACGGGCAGGTGATATTCTTTGTGGGATGGCACCGTGCGATCAAGCGCAAGGTTTAGTACCCCCTGCCTTAGCAGTACGTTGCTGCTGTTTGGTTTCTTGTTTCCAGCCCGCTGGGAGCCTTCACAGGCTAATGTTGACTTCAATTTTATAAACCCCCTTCAATTATAAAATCCAGCCGCCGGAACTCAATTGTCAACCCCCCTCAATTGTAAAATTAGTCGTCGCTTTTTTGTAGAATTTCCTGTTCTCGGTTTGCTGAATTTTGGGAATCTGCTCCAGTACTGCAGAGGGACAGAAATTGCAATTACTACGACCGCTCTAGTATTGTAGAGAGATAAACTGCAATTCCTGCGACCCTTCCAGCATGCCAGAAAGTGAAATTGCGACAAGCACTGCAGAGCTTCGTCTGAGATAGGTGCTTCTGGAGATGCCTGCAAAAGGCAGGAGCAGGGAAGCAAACTTTAGAAGCCAAGCGCTTCATTGGGAAAGCTTTGCTCTAAAAGCCGCGAGACTCCGAAACCGCAGATTTGGAGGATGTCAGAAACCATGGTTTCCGTAATAAAACAATTCCTTATCCCGGCAGCAAACAAACAATCCATCCTAAAGGCCGTTCTCCTCAATTGTAGACCCCAGTCAATTATAAACTCACCCCAAAAAGGGCCGTTTGGAGATGCCTGCAAAAGCCAGGGGCAGGAAAGCAAACTTTAGAAACCAAGCGCGTCGTTGCGAAAGCTTTGCTCTACAAGCCACGAGACTCCTAAACCGCAGATTGAGAGGATCTCAGAAACCATGGCTTCGTTAATAGAATTCCTTTTTCCGGCAGCAAAAAATCAATCCATCCTGAAGGAGTACGGCCGTTCTCCTCAATTATAAACCCCACTCAATTATAAACTCCTCATTGGGAGGGCCTTTTGGAGATGCCTGCAAAAGCCAGGAGCAGGAAAGCAAGCTTTAGAAACCAAACACTTCATTGGGAAAGCTTTGCTCTACAAGCCACGAGACTCCTAAACCGCAGATTGAGAGGATCTCACAAACCATGGCTTCGTCAACAAAATTCCCTATTCAATCCATCCTGAAGGAGTACTAACAAAAGCCGCTCTCCTCAATTATAAACTTCCCTGAATTATAAACTCCTCCCGGGGAGGGCCTTCTGGAGATGCCTGCAAAAGCCAGGAAAAGGAAAGCAAACTTTAGAAGCCAAGCCCTTCATTGGGAAAGCTGTCGATTCCAAAGGACAGCAAGCTTGAGAAGCCAAGCAACTACTACCACCACTCCAGTAACTGCGACCCTTCCAGCATTGCAAAGAGAGAAAACTTGCCTTGGCTGCCGTAAGAGGCAGGCTCAGTAGAGCCCAAGATGCTCCGGGTACTGGTATAATTACTACTGTACTATTGAATAGTATTACTGTACTGCTGTACTACTGTACAATTGCATTATTGCATTATTGCATTACTGTACTACTGTATTATTGTAGTACTGTACTACTGTACTATTGTAATGCTGTACTACTGTATTACAACACGGCAGCAACAACACGGCAGCAAATCAATCCATCGGTGACCGAACCCCCTTCAATAATCAATCCCCCCGGGCCTGAATCAAATCGACGGGGGGGAGGTTTATTAATATGAAGTGAACATTACATAACATTACCCCCCAAATCTTCATTACCCTGGTAGGATGTAGGGCTGTCTCACCCTCTTCCTGCCACTTGGCTGCGAGCCTCGGGTCATCTGCGGGCGCTTGACGGAATGTATAGTAGATCTGTAATGTAGGTCCAGCGGAAGGAACACGGTGAATCCTAGTGCAACAGCCGATAGCTAACCGTGCAAAGCAATCACACAGATTTAGTGTCCGCACACACAGCCAGACGAGGTTGGGCAAATGCCAGCCAGCATCATTCAACAACCCTTGAAGCATCAGAAGCCCTGACCGAAGGCGGCACTACGTGACCAGTTCCTCAAGCTCGAGACGAGGGTCTTGGCAGATTTGCCGGACGGCAGCGGCAGGAACCTCGGAAGACTGGCCGAGCCGTGAGTAGGTGCACAACCGTATCGCAACATGATTGTGGAAGTAAGTTCTACTACGATATGCAGACAGGTGTCATGTGGAACGCTGTTATAGACTGGGACTTGAAGAGCAGAGTGCAGCAATTGAGGGCCAGTTGTGATTTTATGGGACATCCCTTCAGAATTCAGTTTCCCGGGCTTTGGGTTTGGGATGGTTTGGGATTCCATGATTTGGGATGCCTCTCGCAAGCCAGAAGCGCACACGCGCGCACGCACACGCACACACACACACAAACAAACACACAAACACACACACAAACAAACACACAAACAAACAAACAAACAAACAACCAAACAAACAACCAACCAAACAAACAAACAGACAAACACACAAACAA